CTGGCTTTGGCAGTACATGCAGCAGTATCATCAGCTTGTAGTGGAAGAACCTACAAGCTGCATACATCTCAAAGTCTATGGCCTGGCTGCCCCAGCTCTAGAAAAAGAAATGTGGCACCTTTCTGGATACTCTTTCATAGCTGAATTTTAGCTTGCTTTTTCCTTTCAACTAAATATATCGCTTGTTTTAGTTGCAGATTGGAAATAATTATTTCCAGAAAACTTCACTCTACAAGTACATAATTGCATCAGCATATTTCAGTGATAGAGAAACAAGATGGGATTTCCAAGAGCACATACTATATGTATGTAAATTTTTCTTTTCAGACTGCAAGGGGAAGGATGTAAACTTTATTCTTCACCTTCACAAACAGAGACAATTGAAATAATTAAAAATGTGTGCTGGCTTCACATGTGCTGGGTGACTTTACTTACTCCTGATATTTGATAGACAAACATTGTATCTTTTAAGTGCATTGTATATGTTAAGTAATGGCAGCGCAGACAAGGGGAAGTATCAAAACTGGCTTGATATCTCTATCCAGTATGTTTGACTCTTCTACAGAGTTGGTATCACTGAGTCTATTGCTGTCTTTCCATTCTGCCAACTGCTTATTGCAATTATGAGCATTGTATCAAGGAGGCAGATCTTTGTGATTCTTAACAAATGGTACTACATGCAGGCTTGGCATCTGGGAAAAAAAAGAAGAATCTCTTCTTAAAAAAAAAAAAAAAAAATCAGTAGTTGGATGGATAGGAATTTAATGCTTATCCTAAAAAAAGGCATCTTCTCAAATCAATTCATATTCTAGTTGAGAAGTAACAATGGAAATACCAATTTACAGAAAACCAGTTCTTTTGCTGAGAGCAACTTACTGTGGTGGTTTCAAAATAATGCAGACTTTTTACAAAGCAAAGGAGTGTCAGGGGAAACCCCTCTTCATCTTTCTTTGTCATCTTTAAATATTGATTAATTAAAGTTGATACTTTTTGAGTCATTTACATTTCTCTCCTCAGAAAGACAGTAAGTAATACATTTAACAAAAAAAAAAAACAACAAATGATCGGAAAAAAAAAACCCCAAGCAAAACATGTCATTGGGTGCAGTAAGAGCGCATGGCGAGAGGTCATTCAAGCAACAAACGATTTACAGTGTGTATGTTAGCATAGTGTGATGTTAGACATTAGTGTGTCATACATGTGTGTTTTTCATTCGTTCCATGCTAATCTTTGAAAGATATCTGACACCTTTTTGAAAGATTCAGTAATTGGAAAGCCTTTATATTCACCAAATGTGAAGGTTTTGATGTTTTTACCTTCAAAGACCTATCCCAAGCATGTTAATGTATTCTTTGAGGCAATACAAAGATTTATAGTACTCAACGTAGTATTTCTATTCATTATTCTTTTTCTCTGTGTTTTAGACAGTTTCCTCAATATTTAGCTGGATTGGGTCAGATTAATTTATATGCAGAGCCTGCTTTATAATATAAAGAGAATTGATAAAATCTTGTAAAATCTTAATGAAGTGAACTGTATTCTGGAAGCACTTCCAGTGTGTATTGGTCAAGTGAATCCTCTTGGTAACTGTTATTTTCAGTTATTTTCCGTACTTTTAAAATATGTGAAGCAGCAGCAGCAAAGAAGAGCCTATGGCATCTTGTTCCTCTTGTCCTTGTTTCGATTCTAAAGTAAATCTTTAATTATAAATTGTCTTGAATTGGCATCACTCTGTTTGATTCTCTTTGAGAATCAAGAAGACAAGGCAGCTGTGATCTGAAGTAACACTCTTTTTAAATTGAAGTACTGGGTTTTTTTAGTATTATAATTGATGCTGAGAATTACTGATGAGCTTACTCCACTGCACAGCAATGATCCTAATAGTAGTCATCTTATGCCTTAAAACCACGAAATGGCCTAAAAATGCAGTCTAAAAATTTTAAGTATGTATTTGTAGGTAATGGTATCTACATTCACAGATACTGTGAATCTCTCAAATGATTTTCTTTTATATAAGTCTTCTAAATAATGTTTCTCTATCTTTTTTTTACCAGATAAGGAGACAAAGCATGTTGAAGCCATATGGCAGCTTGAGTAACTCACATTAAAAGTCTTGGGAAGAACAGCTGAACACACACATGCTGAGTTTTGGACCTCTGCCTGTGGAGCTGGCCAGTCATTCCTCTCACCAGCTAGCAGTGCTGTTCCCTTGAGCTTCTGATGTTTATGGCACCAGCTTCTGATGCTACTGTTGCTTTCGAGTGTCTGACAGATTTCTTGTTTTTAGAGCTGTTCTTTGCACTGGAGCACAGAAATGGAAGTTCTGCAGCTTCAGGCTGAAGTTCTAGGCTGGAGCTTGCTGACTTGAAGGCTTTTCTGCTCTGATTTTTCTTTGTATTGTTTTTGGCCAGTGAGGGGTAATTGTTCGGTAGTGAACTCCTGCCTCCTTCCCTCCTGCTTGTAGTTATTCTTCAAAGTTGATTGCTTTTTGTTACCAGGGCACACACCCATGTTTCAAACAGAAGCAAATTAATTTTAAAAGCTGTGTTCTGAGAAGAAGCTTTGTGTTGCTTTGAAGTTCTCAAGGCTTTTTTAACTCAAAAAGTGCATGAAGACATCTATTCTTCCCTTCCTTTCCTTAGGGCACGTATTGCTGTGGCAAGTGCTTGTTGGTTTTGGGTTTTTTTGTTGTTGTTGTTGCTGCTGTTTATATGTGACTAGATAATATGATTAATTTCTAACTGTGCTGTATGAGTATTTTATTTATATTTTTCCTAGCATCATTTCAGCTTTTTAACAGAATGGGTTTGGTCTTTCTAGAAGATTACTGGAAAGATTTCTGAACTGCAGGGTAAAAATCAGGAATTAAAAGAACCGGAACAGTTAAATATTTAGGTTTCTTGGCTAAAAGCACAGGGTAGCCAAAAGTTTTAATGCAAAATTTTTCTGTGCTATGCCTCCAGTAACCATGGGTCCTGATGGTGCAGGAACTATAATTTCTACTTAAGGAATTGTCATTAATATCTTTAACTCAGTGGCTGAAACTTCACTGTATTTATTGTCTTACTGCTAGATATGGTGCTAAAGTAGGAAACACCTGCTTCTACTATTCTGAAAGTTTCAACTGACTCCGTAAATATGTTTCAAAGTCAATTAAATATAACGGGCAACATTCCTGAGTTTTATGTGAATGTTTTTTTCAGTGACAAATTTTGGTGTTTGGTTTCCTTCAGTATTTTAATTCTTTATTTAGCTTTTGTTGTGTTACCTGTATTGTTAAATTCAAAATGCTTAAAAGCTGACTGGATGAAGTGTATCCGTGTATCTGTAAAAGCGATGCTACATAAAACTGGTGATGAAGAATCCTAAGTAGACCATTATTATGAGAATTGAAAAAGGACATTTAAGACTAAAGGAACATTAGTAATAGTCTCTCCATAATAGAAGATGGTCAATGGCAAATAAAATCCTCTTCAGCAAAACTGTGGGGATTTTGTTTACTCCTAGTTTATTGGCATAGGACAGGAGCAGCAGGTTGATTTGAGATTAAGCAGGGAAGCAGTGGTGGGAACATTACTCAAACTGCTCCTTTGCAGTCCCTGAGCAGAAACAAGGTAGGCTTAAATTTTGCATGAGGCTAGATCATTTTCTTTTGCAAGTGAGATTTGCTTCCCCTCTTGTTTTAAGGCAAATGAATAGAGATTGATCTTGATGGGATTTTTGGGGGTGTCTGATTGCAGAAGTTTGAATAAAGCATTGAAAGGGAGGGAGTGTTTTCCTTCCCTTGCTTGTTGCATCTTTGCTGCTCAGCCTATGTCCTGCTAAGCCTCAGAATGGCAGCAAGTAGCACCTTTAGAAGTTTGCAAACTGATAATAGCATGTTTTAAGTGAGTCTCATTTGTGAAACATTATTGAGCTTTTGAATGTGGTTTACGATGAAATTCAGAATTGTGTTTCTGCTTGACACTTGGATACGAACTTTCCTTTCTTCTTTGAGTCTCGTTGCCTTTAAACATTACAAAGCTATGCTGAATTTTTTGTGAACTATATTGGCTAGAGAGTCACTAGCTACTGTTTAGAGCAGAGGTGAGGCTGACAATGAAGGAAGCATGGATTTGAAAACAAATGTGACCTTTCTATTTTGTGAAGTAACTGTGTTACTGAGGTGGTGTAGATGATGCTGAAAACAAAGAAAAGAAAAGAATTAAGCCTTCTCCATGTTCTAGCATCCACTGATGTATATTTGCTGGGATATTGACCTTACCTTTCCGTGTTAGAGATGGTAATGGCTTATGGCAGACAGCTGTATCTGTAAAGGCACCAAACTGTATATTTGGAATAATTGTGAGGGAAGAAAGATCAGGGCAAAATAGTCTGTTTCCAAAAGAAACAGAAAAACAAATAAATACCATAGAATTCAGAATATTGGTTATTCTTAAGATGCTTTTAAGAATCTTATGCTATATTCATTAAATGCTAGTATACTGTTTCCTTTGTTAGAAATACATTAGAATAAAATCATGCGAGTTTGTTTGGTTGATTGTGAATAAGATGATAAGGTTTTTTGGCAGAGGAGGATTGTTGATGACCTATAAAGACAGCTGTTGAACAGCCAGGATGCCATTCTTTGAATCTAAAGCAAGCTGTCTTCACATCTGGAAGAGGGAAGCATTGCAGTACCCTCAGTAGATCAGGTCTGGTCCGTGGTCGTGCCTGACTAGGGTAGTAGCTGTTAGACACATTTTTTAAAAAATTTTTTTGCTGACATTATTGTAAATAGAAAAAATACACAGCTGAATATGGGACAAGTTGCTGTGGATGTGCTAATGGATGTAGATGGCCTCAGAGGCAAGGGGCTGTAAGGAATCAAATGGACTAGAAGGATAAAAAAATGGACTGGAAAGATGCTTCTTTTTTGTATAGTACTACTGCCATCCTCTCTCAGTTCCTCGTGTTGCATAAAGGCTCTATTTCTGACCAAGCTCTGTTTTGTTTTTAGGAGGATAGCATTGTGTTTAAAATGGAAGTTGACATAAATGGAGAGTCCAGAACTACCCTGTCCACCCTCCCTGTGCCCCTTGCAGAGGTGAGTTCTGCAGGCAGGATGGAAGCAGAGAAGCCCCGCTGTTCCAGTACCCCCTGCTCACCAATGCGACGGACGGTTGCGGGATATCAGATTCTTCACATGGATTCTAACTACCTGGTTGGCTTCACAACTGGAGAGGAGCTGCTAAAATTAGCCCAGAAGTGTACAGGAAGTGAAGAAAATAAAGGGGAGTCTGGGCCGAACTTGCGCTCCAAACAGCTTGATTCAGGACTTACACGTTCCTCCCGTTTGTACAAAACTAGAAGTAGGTACTACCAGCCATATGAGATCCCAGCAGTAAATGGAAGGAGGAGGAGGCGGATGCCCAGCTCAGGGGATAAATGCACTAAGGCTTTACCATATGAACCTTACAAGGCACTTCATGGTCCTCTGCCTCTTTGCCTTTTAAAAAGTAAAAGGGCTCATTCGAAATCCCTCGACTACCTCAATTTAGACAAAATGAGCATTAAGGAACCTGCTGACACAGAAGTGCTGCAATACCAGCTCCAACACCTTACCCTTAGAGGGGACCGTATGTTTGCAAGAAATAACACATGAGCTATCATCTCGAATTTGGAACCAATTTCTGATTATTTCTCTGTTGCTGCAAAAATCCACTGTTGTACTGTGTACATGACTGCCCACATCGTAGGTGGTTGTGTCAGCTAAATGTTATCAGAAAGTAATTTATTTGAAAAGAATCTTGGCAATACAATGTGTTACAAATACTCAGAGGGAGAAATCTTTCCTGAGCAAGCAGCTTCTGATGCAAATTTGACTGCAACTGGTGGATATTTCTTTGGACACCTCATAACAAGAAAAAAAAAAAAAGCTTTTGGTTTTTTGGTTTGGGATTTTTTTTTTGGTACAGTTAATCTAGTATATACAGTAATTTAACACTGAAAAATTGGTGATGTCTGCTTGGTTTTTGCTAATTTTGGCTTGATGTTAGAAACTTCTCTTGCATAAGTACTCAAGTTCAGGAGGTTTTTTGGTTTTACTTTTTGTTCCTGTATTCTACCATAGGATGTATGGGTTGGGTTTTTTTTTACATCAGGGAGAGGAAAGTGAGCTTGGCTAAATTGGATCACTTGCTATTTAAACAATCCAGTTCAAACATTTGCAAACTGCATTTGCACTGGTGATGAGGGTGAGATTCACTCATAAAACAAACCTTTGTTACTTGAATCCTATTAAATAATTTTTTAATTTCTGCATGGAAGTAATTGCTTTGCCTCCTCAGTTCTATAACACTTGTTCAAGATAAGTATTTGAGTTATTACAAATAAATCTTTTGGGGAGTGAAGATTTTTTTTTTGTTAGTGGGATTTATTTTTTGCATTGTCTTGACATACAAACAAGGATTCACTTCAGATTCCAGTAAATACACTGGAATGTCTGCATTGGTATGTCACTAGTGTTTTTTATTTTAATTCCTGATTCCTGTGTCATGTATAGTAACAGAAGGTGTGAAATAACTTCAGCATTGCTTTGGAAATTCAGTTGATTTGAAGCACTGAACACTTGAGATCTGGAAGGCTGATTTTTTTGATGGAGTGCAAGTGAAGTGTTTCTGTATCAGCATTGAAGAGATGACCCTGGATTATTCAACAAAGTAGATTGACTACACTGGCTTACTTTGTTACTTAAGAATTTTTTATCCAAACATAATATCAATTGCAGTTATGACACCTCTATTCCTAGGTGTATTTAAAACATTTCAGTAACTTATGTTTAAAAATGAAAAACAGTTTTCAGACTTTTTTTTTAGGTGCAATCTTTTACTGAAGCAGTGTGCAACTTCGTTTTGGCTGATGACCTCTGCGGAAGAAGTTAAAATAAGATCACATTGTTTTGAACCATAAATTATTTCATCAGTTGTTTCTTAATTCTGGTAGAATTAAGGGGTTTTTTTTGTTTGTTTGTTTATCATTGAAAATGAGTAGAAAGCACTAGTTAGTGCATGCGCTGTGGAAAATGAAGAGTACTCATTCTGTCATTTTCTCCACAGTTGTAAATGAAGGCAGCCCAGTAGTCTGCATTTTGCTGGTTTGGTAATCTTTTTTTAGGTTTATTAGAATCTTTGCAACAAACTGATGTGTATTTTTAGAAGTTAACTACACCTGTGTAAATTTAATGTATTGAACAATGATCTTGGAAGTAAAATCTTCCTGTATACTCTTTAGTTTGAAAAACAGAATATGGTCAGATGCCAAAGAGATGGGGGTTTTGTTTAAGGAATAACACCACTTTATTGAAATACCCTATGAAACTGTATTTCTGGCTGAAAAATAAAAAGGGTGGTATAAACACCTATTGTTGTGGAGTCTTTTGCTGTGTAGGAGAAAGAGGACATTTAAAAAAATACGACTTTAGACTAGGGATCATTTAAAAACAACTTCAAAGCAGGGATCTTGGACTTCTGTGAAATAGGTGCTTAGGATTGCTACTATGTTTCAGGAAATGGACCGTGCAATTATTAATATTTTGTGCATGTTTCTAATGTCATCCTGTGCCATAATTGTATAGCTAGACTAATAGAGAGGTTGATGGCTAAGTTCATAAAAGAAGTGTTAGTACTTTATGTGTTTGGTGATTTGCTCGTGAAGGTGCTTACACGTGGTAATATTGTTTGCTTAACTCATACACACTTGCAGCTCTCATAGCATATCCTCAATCAAGAGCCCAATGTTTTGCAGATTTGGTTTGTAACTTGTTTGGTTCTTTATCAGAACTCTTATATCCACGAGGAGTTCCTGGTTTTACGTCTAAATTAAGCAAAATCTCAGCCAAATGAGAGCTTTTGATCTTGTCTTATTTGAGCTGCTTATAATGTCTTCCATTAAACTAATTAATTAAAGTCAAAGATGAGATGGTTCTTAAGACTACTAAAATGAAATTGGATATGAACAATACTGACCTTTCAAAATGAGTTCTCACTGTTCTTGTAATAAACTAAAAGAAAAAAAAAGCATTAAAAAAAAAGATGTTTCCTTGTCAGCTTTAGTATCTTCCAGAGGATTAAAAGAGTGAAGGTGGGAATGGTACAGGGTAGTAACACAAATCTTCCATTTAACAGACCATTAACACGAAAGCAGCTCTGGAATCAAGTACAAATGTGTGAGCTGGGATACTGAGGCAGATGTTAAATTCAGGCACACTGCTGGCATTTTTAAAAAAAAATTCCAAAAAAGATTTGGTATGAAATCCATTCTTTATTTCAGTGTTTTCTTTCTTCATTTTAGGTATAAACTTGTAGCTACTCCTGTCCTGCTGTGTTACGGTTTGTGTTTACAATTGTAAATACGGTACCTCACTGACCTTGTGGTTTCCTTAACTTCTCTTTGTCCATCCATTGTATTCTGACTACTCGGTTCTCTTGGGTGATGATCTCTCTTGCTGAGCATGTTTACTGTAGTGGCATTGTTAATTGCAGACTAGGGCTACTAGACAATATTGCAAAATAAGTAACAGGCAAGCTTTTAGAACCTTCTAAACCTGCTGTCCTGGATGTGTTTTTTTTCTGCTGGGAAGAACAGAGGAATGGAGAAGGGTTATTTTTAAACTGCTGAAAATGCAGATGTTGCTGTCTAGATGTGGAGAAAGGTTCTCAGTAGTTCAGGGCTTGAAACATAAATAATTTCATTATTTTCTGGGCAAATAAGAGAAGGACAAGTGTAATTTTTTAAGACTTACAAGAGAAGAGCAGAAAGGGTATATGCTGCATAAAAACCTTAGAAAGTCTACGATAGCTGCAGAAATATCAGCTCATTAGTTTCAGTAAAGCTAGGTAGTGTTCAGGCTGTATAATTTGCTTTTGAAGAAATGAAAAAGCTATCCAGAACACAAAACTGCGGTCTGACAAAATCTAAGGGGGTTTCAAAGTATGTTTTCATTTGGTAAAACACAGGATTCAGTTAAAAAAAAGAAAAGTTTTAAGGTCAATACTAAGCTAATGTCAAGTTTATGGATCAAATGAATGTTTGTAGTAGTAGGAAGGGAAATACTACCTATAATACAGACAAAGCAAAGAATTGTTAATGGATAACATAACTGTTTTTTCTAAGTCTTTCAATGGTACCAAAGAATCTGAAACAGAAATTATCCCACATAATCACATTTGACGTTTTGCATGTTTGCATGGGACGTTGTTCTGGCTGAAGTCAGTTATTAATGTTAAACTTCAGTTTAAAGAGGACTGTGTGCTAAAAAGAAACAATAGAAAAAATGATCTTCAGTGAGAACATAAGCAGAAAAAATTCTTTAAGAGGAAGACTAATCTGGAAGTGGAGCTACGTTAAGCTGTTGTAGGAAAAATGCAGATCTAAAATTGAAAAATGTAGTTTTATTATAATGCTAATAACTTTGGCAGCCAACAATAAAAATGCACATTTCTTTGCATGTTGTCTGAGCATTTGGCAAATACAGTTTTATTGATGATTCTTTCTGGAGACTGACTGTTTGCATGAGTGATTTTCAGTGATTTGATCTGTTAGTTGGGACATCAGTTTCCATGATGGGTGATTACACTGAAAGAGTGGCAAAAACATGTGTCTGATAGACAGATCTCAGAAGAACACACTTAATAATGTTTGCATTATTGATTTTTTTTTTTGTCTCTATCACACCACATTTTTTAGCCAGAAGTTAGTTTCAACTTTCCAAGTCCTTGAGAATCTTCAAATAGATTACGGTTTTTTTGCCCCAGTGATTTTGCTAGTGAAATATTTACTGTAGTGGCATTGTTAATTATTTTTTTTCCTTTTTATTCTATCATAAAAGCACTTGGGGAAGATAAAGCTGTATCTTCAGGTCTATAGAATATGGAAGACTTCCTTTTTTGGAAGGAGCAAGGGGGATCCCTAGTTGTCTGCAGTACTTGCTTCTGATCTTGTAAAAGCTAGGTATCGTTGTTAAATATACGATACTTAAGCATAAAAGTCTTTCTGTGAGCTACTTTTGCAGACATTTTCTTCTGGCTCTTAACCGTGGGTGCAGCTTGGGAGAATGTAGGCTGTTACGAGATGCTGATAACTGACCTATAAAGCATCACAGATTCGTTTTAAAAAAAAGTCTCTCTTGTGTCTCAGGAATCATTATCAAGCAATTCTTCGGCATTTTTTCCTTGCATCAGAGTGATGACTTCCATCAATCAACAACCACTTTACTTTCCTCCTCTGTAACACAAGAATCATTCTTAATGATGCTACTCCCTCAGGAATTGCCTTCAGTTGCTGCATTTGGCTGCTTCTGGATGGCGGTAGTTAAGATTCAGTGCTGCTGCTCCAGTGGTGTAAGAAGAGAGTTCTGAGGGAGTAAAATAATAATAATCTTTATACCATTGAATATGGCCTGAATTAAAATCCTGTGGTGTTTCTGTGGTATTCTGCAGCTCTACACAGTGACAACAGGGAGATGGTGGAATTTCATAGTTCTTTGACAAAGCAAAGTGTAAAAAGCTGCCTGAGCAGAAAAAACTTTTGTTCCTTTTATTACTATTTTCAGTTTAAAAAAAAAAAAAAAAAGGGAAAAAGCTTCAAGCTTCTTTATGTATTGTGGTATCAATACCAACTATGATGTCTGGTAGGATTATTGCCCCATTTCATTTTGCTAGACTCGTGCCTGCTGAAGCTCCTGATGACCTGTTCTTTCTGTGAAGGTGAAGGAGGCACAAGTGCTAAAATACACAAGAACTCTGAGAACAGCATTAACAGCTTGAACACTATGAAAAATGGAGCAAGCCATGATTCACTGTAGTGCTTTACATTAACCTATTTTTCAGAAACGCAAAAATAGTTGAAGAAAAGTGTTAGGTACAGAGGTGGTTTTAGAAGTCTATTTCAGGCCAGAAATACTGCAGAGTAGAGCTTCACGGTGTGAACTATAGTCTGCAAATGGATAAAAAGTACAGAGGGAGAGAGAATGTTGTAGTGCACTGGAATATCAGGTGGCAGAGCACCAACATTTTAAGCTAGATGAATGAGAGAGGGTGGGGAGAAGAATGCAGTAAATGTAAGATTCATTTTTTTCTGCCTTAGCTCAATGATTTAATGTTTTTCATTTTACTTGGGGCAAACATCTTCCAATTTTTATGAAGGAAAATTGAAAGATATCCAGAATAGCTACAGCTCGAAGCAACTGACTGTATGCAAGATTTCTATCTGTCTGTCTGTGTGAATGTTTTCTATAAACTTAATTCTCTTTAATTTTTATCACTGTTTCAATGTTCGCCTGATATTATTTCAGAATTGGTTTGGTAAAGAGATGACTGGAAAAAAACTGTTGGAGGAGGAA